GCACTATGATTTAAAGAGACCGTATTTATTCAGATATGCTTAATTCGATGGGAACAAAATAGATTGGAAATGACAGTGACTGATAAAGTTCAGAAGTTGCCGGTTAACAGAACATGCATCGGCTAAGAAATAATGCTGTAGGATAGAACCCAGAATTTAATAAGCCTAAAACGTGTCTTAAAGACTTCGTTTGGCCTTTTTCACTGCGGAGGCAGCATTCAACCTCACTTTTAGTTGTGATGGATAAATGGCTTCCTACATTATTCAGGTCATACTCTCGGTCTTCTTTGTTAAAAACGACCAATACGAAATGACCGATAGTAATTAGCACAATCAATCAATGAAACTGTTTTAGAAGAACGAATTTCAGCCATGATTGAAAATCCGTCCGTGATTGTGTGCAGAGAGTTGCGATGCAGTAGTTTTATGATCTGAAGAAACAGCACCTAAGGAAGTTTCGACATAGATCGTAATAATATGCAAAACCTGGGATTTATGGTGTTGGTACGGGATATTTGACTGATCTTCGTTGGACCAAAAATTGAAAAATACGATTTTTTTTCAAAAAGCATGGCATCGTTTATGATGAATTTATTTCCTGAAGCAAATACTCTGCTGAAAAATACTGAACATGTGGTATTACTCTAACCGTTGTCTAAATATTTATAATTTGATTTCACATTCTCTCATTCAGAGGATATTTTGTCAATAGCCAGGGTCTGAGCATACTCAAGCTGCTGAGGCATGATATAAATTTTTTAACGCATGATTCTCACTGTATCTAAAACACCAGTTTCATGGCACTAACTATGAGAGCATTTCTGTGACTCTCAGGTTGTACAATCTGATCCTCACTGATTTGAGAATGACGCCGTTTGAGGCAAATTACCATGGGCATTGTTCAGCAGCTTTTAACCGGCGCACCTGTTTCAGATCCATAGGAAGGACTCGGTATTTTCGTCACTCACTTTTTCCGCACATCTTCTTCTAATGCAACAGCAATATCAATTATTCCAGCTATTCCAGCTATCCCATTCTTGTGATCCAAGGATAATCTCTGGGCGATTGTGATCACCGCAATGATCTGTGAGCATAGAGTGGTCGAAATAGATAATACATTAGCCGTATTCAAGCACGGTACATGGATGGTATCGATATTATTGTATCGTCCATGAGGGTTTGACTTCTTTCATGTGCCCGCTCATTGGTTTTTGATCTTGGCGACGTCACTGTGTCGTATGAGGTACTGGGTGCAGCCAAGACAGGAATTTCGACCATATATTTGATCGTATCCGTTGTACTGCCGCATATCCTGCGTCTCTCCGGGAGATTTTCTTTAAGGATATGTTTCCCAGGTTCTCAGGTGCTTCGTCCACGCCAGTTAGTATTGTATTACCACAGCAAATCCATCTGTGTCTATAAAACATTTTCATTGTCGAAGTCAAAAGAGCGAATTTCTGTAAACCTGAGAACACCAGAGTGAAGCCAGTAAAGAGCCTTCTTATTCTATTCATCAAGTCCGGATAGGAGCGTCATTTCTCCATCACATCATTGCTCTCACGGAGATTTATTATTAGTTAATTAGTTGGGACATGAAATGCATAAGCTCAGTTCTGGTAGGCGACGCTATGATCAGCTGGTCGATTAAGTTCCTACAATAATATGATCATATTTTAACGAGACAATTGAATACAATCTATTGTTGAGGCAACGACGTGGAGGTAACGCAGCAGTCCCTCTGGTTGATTGAGACGGAATTGATTGCTCGTCACTGGAGAATGACATCTGGTCATTACAAAATCCACGTATAGTACTTTAGTTTTTGAAGTCGTTGAGCTGGCTAGAAGTTTGGGAAACATCGACAATAGTTCATGAGGGCTAGCATTCCTAATGAACAGCAAAGAATCCACTCTCCACATAAACCCTCAAGATGAGAGAAGATCGAAGGAGCATCGATTTACGTTCATAACGGAGATGAGGGCAAGTAAAGGATGAATAATGAATTGAGTGTAAGAAATTATAGCAAATTTAATGGTAAACCTTTTTGCACGGTACTTTGAATCATAATTTCGCTCTTCCCTTTAACAAGCAATCGGTTTTCATTTTTTTTAAAAATTATGTAATCTTTTACGCCACATCTTTTGATAATATACGATCATTGCGGTGGAAATGATGCTATTACTCTTTTAGTCAATGATCGTTTGTTGTTGAAATGCTAGAATCCATTCTATAAAATTGGGTTTTTTCTTAACAGAGCATTTGCATATTTTATTGAGGCTCTTGAATGCTCAATAATTACAACCGTCGTTTATCTTCCGGACTGATGACAACATAAGGTTGTAAACTGCGGCTAAAATCTTCATATTCAGAATTTTGAGGTTTTGACCATTTAAGTGAGTCAAACGATTTTATCTTTCTTTATGAGGTTTCAGTAATCAGTCATCAATCGGTTATTCCTTCAGGTTCGCGAAAGGTCATCATCCTTCTCTCTGAGGATTGATGGCATTATGGAAAACAAACGGTATAGCTCTTTCTTTGATATGCAGGCCCTTACGAAGTAGCTTGCCAATTAGATAGCACTAAGTGCCTTGAAGCCACAACGACAACATCGTCGTAGAGGCTGATATAAAATCTCCAGCAAATTTGCAATCGTCCAGCTTGCGATTAGCTCTTTCAGTCTGCCCGTAGTTCCTTTTATCACTCATTCTGGTCAGTTCTTCAAAATTAACCAGAATAGAGAGGTTTTTCTACTAGAAAGTTACAGTACATTATGCAGAAAGATAACGTGAAATAAAATTGACCACTTTAATGAAAGAAATTATAACCTTAACCACAGGAGTTTTTTATGCTTATATATTGTTGGCTCTATCTGTCATTGCTGAAACCTCTGCGTTTATTAATAAATTAAATGAAATTCTTTGCTTCGACTGTTGTTATTATGAATCTAATCAAAAGTAAGATCTCGGTCACATTTTGTGCTGATTATCGCAGTAGAGAGTCAGCTATATTCTGGGTCAATGCGAAGAACAGTCATGAGGTGCGCTCGCATTCGACAGCATTGCCGGCACCTCGTCCATTTCGGCATGAACAGACCAGAGTACGAAACTCTGCCTATTTTTCGCAAGTTTCAGATTTACTACGCGTTTCTCCTTTGGTTACATCGACTCAGTAGGGCGCCATTTCCTTGCTCAACGAAATTCGAGGTTAAGACAGAGGTTGTAACGAGCGGATTCGATTCCGGCACATTCACTTTAAAGGCAGCCTCTTTGCTACTTTGACATCCTAGCTGGAGCCTAGCTTGAACGAATAAATTTCACTGTTACAGAGAATCCTTCCACCTCGTCTGTCGTCAGGGCCTACTTCGACCAGGAGTGCTTAAAGGTGAACAAGGTGTTCTACAGGTGCAGTCGTCATTGCTTCGTTTGCTGACAAACTTTGGTCGTTGCCCGCTCTGTGTTACTTCGATGCAGCAGTGAGATTTAGAAGAACTGCTGCATGTGATGTAGCATTATATCTTTCACATTGTTTTTTAGTATGATATATTTTATTCGAGGTTTTGATAGGTAGGTTCACAAGAGCACTCCATAAATCGAAGCCAGTCTTCTACATCACTGAGGGTTCACAACGATGAAAATAAAATCTGAATAGCAAGGAAAAGTGTGGTGTATATTTGCTTGGAATATAGACTGTTCACGCATCTTGAAACAGTTCCCTGACCTTTAGTGATAATCAAGGGTGCATACCACTGCAGGATTGGAAGCGAAATGGAATAGGAATGTTTTCATTATCAAATCTGGCCTAATGAACCTGGTATCACGTCTGTATTAATTAAAGCAGAGAGTCAGGCAAAATTCGTTTGTCACATCGTCTACTTATTGGGAGAAGGCGCCTAATAAGCTGAAAGGAAAGGAAGATTCTAAGTATGCTGAATGGATGAGATCAATCAGTAGAACAGATCAGAG